AGCACGAGACACCTCGTCGAATCCACGGAAAATTCGAAGGAGGAATTCTTGTCGGCAGCGAGCCCCGGGGGGAAGTGAGAGGGGGCGTGCCTTCTCAGAAGGCTTGGAAGTCCCCGGGCCTTCTGGGAAGTTTTCTGAGCCGTCACTGAAGACACAAAAGCCCTCTCAGAAGGCCGGGGGGCTTCTGAGGAGGCACGCCGCCTTCTGAGACGGCCCCTCGCTCGCCGCCGATCCTGGCTGCCGACCGCTTGCAGGACATGGACTTCCTGCGCGCGGGCGAGAAGATCCAGATCGGCGAGGAGCGCCGCGCGAGGCTCCTGGCGACCCTGGAGATGGACAGCAAGTTCTTGGCCAGGCCACGGGGAGATGAGGAGAGGCAGGAGCAGAAGCTGGGGGAGGAGTGCAGGGATCGACGGCGAGCGAGGGGGGGAGGTGAGAAGGAGAGGGCCTTCTCAGAGGGCCCTCCGGCCCTCTGAGAGATTTCCGGTGTCCTCGGTGAAGGCTCCAGATTTCTTTCAGAATGCCAGGGAGTTCTTGAGCCTTTTCAAAAGGCCCTCCCCTTCTCACCTCCCCCTGAGCTCGCAGCCGAAGGGAGCAGGAAGACGATGCTGATGAGGAGGAGAAGGAGGATTATGATGATGATGATGATGAGGAGGAGGAGGAGGAGGAGGAGGAAGAGGAGGAGGCGGAGGAAGAGGAGGAGGAGGAGGAGGAGGAGGAGGAGGAGACGGAGGAGGCGGAGGAAGAGGGAGAGCAACATCAGGAAGATATGCACCGTCAAGACGCTGATCTGAGGGCCACTTTGGGTTCTGGAGGGGCGTTGGCTTCCGGACCGTTCCACGGGTCTGGGTCGGGGGACCCGTTTGTTGCCGAGGACCTTCGTGACCAGAAGCGTCCCTTCGTTCTGTACTGCAGCCGAGCATCTGATTATGGCATTCTCAGCCACGCGCAGGGGGGGGGGGGGGAGGGGGAAGGGCTTCTTAGAAGCACCCCTGCTTCTTAGAAGGCGCCGGCCTTATCTATAGATGTAAGGCCGGCGCCGTCTACGAAGCAGCCTCCTTCTAAGAAGCCCTCCCCTCCTCCCTCTACCCCCTTGTGCGCGCCGCCAACGAGCATTTGATTCAGACATTTCCTCCCGAGCAATTGGACAAGCGTTCCTCAACCAGCTTCCTGGGAAGCTGGCCCAGTCTCTTGAGCGCGCTCGCCTCTCCAGGGTGGTCGCCGTGAACAGAAGCCTACATTCGCTCTGTACTGCAGCCGAGCATTTGATTACGGTAGGTTCGCGCGGCGTGCGCGCGCCGGCGACGCCGGCGAAGGCGTTCATGGCAGATTGAATTCTGCGACGCGGAAGCACCGAGGGACACGATAACGCCATTGGGCCCGACGGAATTCAACCTTGAACGATCGAGGCCACGATCGGTTCAAGGTTGAACGATCGACGCGGTGTCAAAAACCTTTGCGCGCGCCGACCCCGCACGAACCTACCGGAAGGCATTTCCTCCCGAGCAGTTGGGCAAGCGTTCCTCAACCGGCTTGCGCGAAAGTTGGCCCGGGCTCTTGAGCACGTTCGCCCTTCCAGGGCGCTAACAGCAGAGATTTGCCCAGATCTGTTTGGAGATATCTTCGGAAAGCTGGCCCAGATTCCTGAGAACGTATTGTTATGGCCCTCATGTTCGGATGTAAGGGCTCCTCAGGAGGAAAGGATGACTACACAGCAGATGGAGGAGGAGATAGAGGAGGACCAGACCGAGAGGGAGGAGGAGCGGCGATGGTGGCAAGCCATCCTGTTGGCGGACCTACCAAATCGAGCATGGGCGGCGGATGCGGGAAATGGACGGAGATCGTTCCCACTGTCGTCATGGGGAGGATGAGAATAAGAAGACGGCGAAGGAAGGACAGGAAGAGCTGATGGAGGGTTGAAGATGGTAGTGATTTGAGCGAATGAGTGATGAGGGTGGTTGAGAAGGAGGAGGAACAGGACGAGGAGAATAACGGAGGAGAAGGAGGATGAATAGGCGGAGGAGGTCCAGGATGTCGACGTGGAGCGGAACAGGAGGGGAGGCCGAGGAACGCGGTTGGATATGGTAGAAAAAGTGAGCTTGAGAGGGTTTGCGGCGATTCCAGCTTTATAAGTCCGCCATGTCAGCAACAACATCATCGACTACTCTCTCCTGCTGGGCATCCACGACCTGAAGGACGGCAGCCTCCCCGACGATTACGCAGGTGCGGGGGGTGGAGAGTTGGGTGAGGGAGTTGGGGGAGGTGGGGTCGGGGAAGTGAGGGAGAGCGGGGAAAGGAGGCGGGCGCTTGTGTCGTCGCCGCTCCCGCCGCCAATTCTCATTTCTTTTTCACACACCTTCCTGGACAAGTAATTCAACTTCTGCAGGTCGTGTCGAATCGTCTGGGGGACCTAATGGGGATAGTTTTTCTTCATGTGTCCGTTTCTAACTTTCCTTGCGTACGAATACGACCCTCGGAGGCCCAGAGACGACGAACGGCCGAAGGCGATGACAACAAAAATGAACCCGGCGCGACCCCAATCAGGGGAAAGCCCATTGCAGGGGCGCACAGTTGGGCGCATCGCTTGGCATTGCTTGGCATTGCCTGGCATTGCCTGGCATTGCTTGGCATTGCTCGGCATTGCTTGGCATTGCTTGGCATTGCTTGGCATTGCTTGGCATTGCTTGGCATTGCTTGGGGCAACCACGGGCGGTGAACCCGGGGAACACGGGGAACCCGGGGAACCTGACGAACCCGAGGAACCTCGGAGGAACGGGTAACGTAACAAGAAGAAGCACTGGGGGCGGGGAACCTGAGGAAATCGGGGAACCCGAGGGACTTCCGGGAAACGGGCAACGCAACAATGGGAGGCACCAGGGGCGGGAACACCGAGGAACCCGGGGAACCCGAGGAACTTCCGAGAAAAGGGCAAAGTAACAATAGGAGGGACACACCTTTAAACAAGTAAGAACCCCCTGAGCAAACCGAATTGGGGGACGGGAACTTTTGGATAGTGTGTCGCGCCGCTGGCTCAGGCCCAGCCCGCTTTGGCACTGGCACGCCACGCTAGTCACGCCCCACTCCCCGAGCGCCAACGTCTCGGGTCTTTCCAAGCCTCCCGCTCCGCGACGCGGAGCTACACGCTACCCGCTCGAAGGGCATGGCGTGCTACCCGCTCGCAGCGCGACACGCTAAGCAACAGTTCCTGGCCGCCCCCCCCCTTCCCCCCTCGGGTATGGCAGCGGAGTCCGACCCGGGTGGCCCTGCCCTGCCCACCAGACGCAACGCGAAGGCAGCGCTGCGCCGTCTCGCCGCAGCGAGTGCGCGGGCGGGAGCGGCGCGCGGCACACGTCGCGCGCAAGGGGGCGGCATGTTGTGCAATCAGAGTTCGGAGGATGACCATGTTTTTGGAAGCTGTTTCTGTGGGCCGAAGGCAAGGCATAGCACTGAAGGCAATTCTGCTTGCTGAAGGCAGTATCGAAGACGCATGTTGCGAATCACCGCCGCCCCCTGCCTTTTGGAATCGCCCATGTGGCCGAGCGCTGTGGCAAGAGCTCTGCCAAGCTATCGGACCATGGGTTCCCCCAGCCGTTGTGGAAAGCCTTCGGGGAACACTTGGGGGAGGAGGGCGGGGAAGATCAGGAGGAGGAGGAGGAGGATGAAAAAGGGAGGCATCTTGGGAGCCTCAAGGGGCACTCTTGGGGCCTCCTGGGAGCTTCCTTGGAGCCTCTTGGAGACATCTTCGGGGTCTCCTTGGGCCTCTTGGGGGCTTTGGGGGGCTTCTCGGAGAACTCTTTGGCCGTCTCAGGGCATTCCTGGCCCGTCTGACGCAGTCGGAATGCTGTCTTGGGGGCCTCTCCGGGCCGACTTGGGGCCCTCTTGGCGTGCTCCGGGGCCGTCTTGGAGGCCATCTTGGGTGTCTTGGATGCCTCTTGGGCCGTCTTTGGGGCCCTCTTGGGGCGTCTCGGGCCGTAGGAAGACCGACAAGAAGCGACTGCCAAAATCCTTCAAACACCTAGGGACAATAAATGCTTTGGTCTCGTCGGTCCTTCCTGGAGCCCTCGTGGGTTCCTCTGGAGTCGTCTTGGAGACCTCTGGGGGCCTCTTGGGCCGTCTAGGGACATCTCGGAGCCATCTTGTGCCGTCTTGAAGCCATCTTGGGCAGTCTTGATGGCCTCCTGTCCCGTCTGATGCAGTCGGAATGCTGTCTTGGGGGCCTCTCCGGGCCGACTCGGGGCCCTCTTGGCGTGCTCCAGGGCCGTCTTGGAGGCCATCTTGGGCGTGTTGGTGGCCTCTTGGGCCGTCTTGGGGCCGTTTTTGGACCTCTTGGGCCATTTTGGGGCCATCTTGCAGGCCTCTTGGGCGATCTTGGGGCGATTTGGGGGGGCTCTTGGGCCGTCTCGGGCCGTCGGAAGGCCGAAAAGAAGCAAATGCCGTCAAACACCTAAGGACAATGAATGATGTTGGCCTCTTCGGGCTTTCCTGGAGGACCTCTTGGAGGCCTCTTGGGCCGTCTTGGAGGCCTTTGGGGAGCATCTCGGCCGTCTTGGCGCCTTCTCGGACGGGCTTGGAGGTATCTTGGACCCTCTTGGAACGTCTTGAAGGCCATCTTGGACCTTGGGCGAACTTGGGAGCGATCTTGCCCTCTTGGAGGTCATCTTGAGCTGTCTTGGAGATTTCCAATCCCTTCCAGATGGCCGGCGGGACGCGCCGAAGCCCAAGGGGAGGGAACAAACAAACAAAACCAAGCCGTGAGAAGTTCAGCACGCCAGACACCCTTCTGGCAATACCACAGGGTGCGGCGGATCGAAGACGCCTTCGGCGAATCACCGCCGCCCCCTGCCTTATTGGAAGCGCCTGCGTGGCCGAAAGTTGGGTTCGAGCTTTGCCAAGCTGTCGGGCCACGCATTCCCCGAATGGGTTTCGAAAGCCTTCGGGGAACACGGAGTTGGGCGAGCTATCGGACCAGGTGGTTTCCGAGCTTTCGGACCTCCTGGAGGACATCTTGGCGGGGTCTTGGGCCGTCTTGGAGGCATCTGGCGGGCCTTTGGGGCAGTCTAAGGCCATCTTCAGGCCATCTGGGGCCGTATTGGGTGCATCTTGGGGCCATCTTCGCCATCGTTGAGGCCTTCTTGGGCGTCTTGGAGGCAAGTTGGAGGCCATCTTGGCCGTCTTAGAGGCCATCTTGGGCGTCTTGGGGGCCTCTTGGGCCGTCTTGGGGCCTTCTTGGGGCCCTCTTGGGGGCCTCGTGGGCTGTCATGGGGCCATCTTGGAGGCCTCTTGGGCGCTCTTGGGTCGATGTTGGGGGCCTCCGGGGCCGTCCTGGGCCGTCGGACAGCTGAAAAGGAGCAAAGTCCCAAATCCGTCAAACAACTAAGGGAAATCAATGATTTTAACCCCGTCGGGCCTTTCTGGAGGACGTCTTGGAGGGCTCTTGGGCCGTCTTGGAGGCCTCTTGCGGGCCTTCTGAGCAGTCTTAGGCCATCTTGAGGCCATCTTGGGCCGTCTTGGGTGCACCTTGGGGCCATCTTGGGCGTCTTGGAGGCTATCTTGGCCGTCTTGGAGGCATCTTGGAGGCCCTCTTGGGGCCGTCTTGGAGGCCATCCGGGGCTTCTTGGGCGCCTCTTGGGCCGTCTTGGGGCCTTCTTGGGGCCGTCTTGGGGGCCTCTTGGGCCGTCCTGGGGCCGTCTCGGAGGCTCCTTGGGCACTCTTGGGCCCATCTTGATGACCTCGTGGGCAGTCTCGGGCCGTCGGAAGGCTGGAAAATAGCAAAGTCCAAAATCCGTCAAAAACCTAAAGGGAACCTATGATTTTGGCCTCTTCGGGCTTTCGTGGAGGACCTCTTGGAGGCCTCTTGAGCCGTCTTGGAGACCTCTTGGAGACCTTTGGGGCCGTCTTGGGCCGTCTTTGAGGTGTCTTTTGCGAACTTGGAGGGATCTTGGACTCTCTTGGGCCGTCTGGGAGGCCATCTTGGACCATCTTGGGCGAACTTGGAGGCCATCTTGGCCATCTCGGAGGCCATCTTGGAGACATCTGGAGCACGAACAACTGTTGGAACCACCTCTCGAGCAGTCTTGCGAACCCTTCCGGGACCCCGGCGGGCTGGGCCGAGGCCCCAGGGGGAGTTCTTGTGGACAACAACCAAAACCCAAACCGAGAGGGTTTAGCACGCCGGGCACCCTTGAGGCAAGCCAACAGGGGGCAGCGGATCTAAGACGCCTACGGCGAATCACCGCCGCCCCCTTTTTTTGGAAGCGCCTATGTGGCCGAACGTCGAGGCCAGACCTGCCAAGCTATCGGACCATGTGTTCCCCGAATCGGTTTGGAAAGCCTTCTGGGAACACGTGGGCATCTTGAAAGTCATCTTGGCCGCCTGGAGGCCATTTTGACCCTTTCGGGCCTTCTTGGAGGACGTCTTGGAGGGCTCTTCGGCCGTCTTGGAGGCCATCTTGAGCGTCTTGGAGGCCTCTTGGGCCGTCTTGGGGGCCTCTGAGGGCCGTCGTGGGCCTCTTGGGCGATCTTTGGGTGCACTGGGGCCGTCTCGGGCCGTCGGAAGGCAGAAAAAAAGCAAATGCCACAATCCTTCAAAAACTCATGGGGAGTCCATGATTTTGACCTGTTCGGCCCTTCCTGGAGGCCCTCTTGGAAGCCTCTTGGGCCGTCTTGGGGTCGTCGGAAAGTCGAAAAGAAACAAATACTAAACACCTTTACACTCCTAAAGAAAATCAATGATTTTGGCCTCTTCGGGCCCTCCTGGAGGACCTCTCAGAGGCCTCCTGGGCCGTCTTGGAGGCCTCTTGGGCACCTCTTGGGCCGTCTTGGGCCGTCTTGGAGGTTTCTTGGACGGACTTGGAGGCATCTCCTCCTCTCTTGGGCGGACTTAGAGGCCATCTTGGACCATCTTGGCGGCCATCTTGGGCCATCTTTGCCGTCTTGGAGGCCATCTTAGCAGTCTTGGAGGCCTCTTGGGGCCCTCTTGGGGCCGTCTTGGGGGCCTCTTGAGCCATCATGGGGCCATCTTGGAAGCCTCGTGGGCGATCTTGGGGCGATCTTGGGGGCCTCTCGGGCCGTCATGAGCCGTCGGAATGCCGAGAAGAAGCAAATGCCAACATCCTTCAAAACCCTAAGGCGAATCAATGATTTTGGCCTCTTCGGGCCCTCCTGGAGGACCTCTTGGAGGCCTCTTGGGCCGTCTTGGAGGCCTCCTGGGGGCCTCGTAGCCT